GATCAACAGAAACACACAACCCTGTAGTCTACAATGGCAAAGCATTTCCATGCTTCCCTGTAACTCTTTCCTGTGAAATCCTGAAGTTCAGGGAAGCGGCTCAGACAGCAGCATTGAATGTTGTGAAAAGTGTTAGGATACGATTTTTACGAAATTGTTTACTGGGGAATGATCATTTTATTGGGTTTAATTTGCTAAGCTACAAAACACGGAGGGTTTAATACTTTACTTAAGAAGAACTCCAGGGTAGGCAAAAAAAAAAATCACCCATTAGTACACCCCCCTACACAAAACAATAAACAGTTAATATTATTTTGAAAATCCTTACCATTTAGGAGAAAAAGTCTAATTGAATGTTCATGACCTCATCTCTGTAATTCAAAAGATAACAGCATCTGCTCTGCCAAGGAAGAGGTGTAACAGCCAAGATTACATCATATCCTCTCAACTCTTTCTGCAGTAAAAGGAAACTACAGTTCCCATCCACCACAGGGAATTGTAGTAAATGTAGGCGGGTACACTAGGCCTGTACAAGTTGAATGTATCTGAGAGTCTCGGTCCATCCACCACTACAAGTGGGTGAATTACATCACTGCTTCCTGGAGAAAGAACTACAGGAGGGATATGCCAAGACCAGTGGCTGGGGGAATAGGAGGCATAGCAGTAACTGGCCTTACAAACAGGAAACCAAAGAGAATTAATGGTTTGATCTGAAAAAGAATAGGGAATTTCAGAGCAACTACTGAGGGAGCCAGGAGATGGATGACATTTTTGGAGAAAGTAGGAAATCAGAAACAAGGACATGTAAAAAAGCTTTTGCCCAGAGTTCTGCTCTAAGGCAGAGCTCCACTTAAAAGGGGAAGCTCTACTCGTCTGCCTCCCCCCCCACTCCATTGCAACATTTGGCACTTTTTGGGGAGGAGCGGATACCTGGTTTTGACAGATACCCGCTCCCACTTCCAGCTTACTTTGCCATGGCGAACTAAGCCAGAAGTTAGGCCCCCTCCTTCCCTCAACAGTCTTCTGGGACGCATCACAGGCCCCAAAAGACTGCCGGATCAAACAGGAGGTGCAGCATGACTTGCACATGCGCAGTGCGCACCTGGCTGTGAAGCCGCAAGCTGTTGCAGCCGGATGCCCAGAATTGAGATGCCGCCTCCAGGAAGAGAAGGAACGGCGTGGGTGAGCACTGAGACAGGTGAGTGTCTGTTTATTAAAAGTCAGCATCTACAGTTTTTGTAGCTGCTGACTTTTAATAAACACAAAAACGAAAGGAACCATTGTACCCCTGGTAATAAATTATGAATGTTAGATATCCATGTCTCTATTATAAGTCACACTGCCTGCAGCTGCACACATCCATACGTCAAAGTAATTTATCATTACAGTGTTACTAAACCCAGGACCCTGCATTCACTATATCTGGTCTCCCACAGTACACAGAACATGGAAATGCAATTATTTTAGTAAATATAAACTGCTATATACCTTTTCTCATCAGCATTATATAGCAGTCCTGTAACTTCTATCAGTGTCCAGCCGAGTACTGGTTAAAGCTTGCAGGAGGAGTTTTAATTCTGCTTTGACTGTCCTATGAGGCTGCATGACCCCTGACCCTCTGCCTGGACAGTGCTGATTGGCCCTGTGCTGATCACATGCACCCTCCCAATTAATAAAAAAAAAAAAACTCTCTAGGAATACACACTAAATTGAGCATGTGCAGAGTGACTCCTAGAGCTCTGTATTATCAACAGATGGACTGGGAACAGCAGATGAATGGGTGGACCAGAGAAGATATGACCAAACAGCCCTTTCACACAATGCAAAGGATTAACCGCTTAGGTTCCACAGTGAGTATAACAAGCATGCATTACTGCATATACAGACTGATTTTACTGCTGTGGGTTTAGTAACATTTCAAATCTGAAATTTACAAAATGGGTGCACTGTCCAATATTTAGAAAAGTAGATGAATTTGTGGGTACCCTTACAGCTCCTTGTACCAATGCTTCATTCCTCCAGAAAAGTGATGAAATGAAAAGCAATTCTCCTGTATATCTGCATGCCTTTGGTATGTCATAGTCTAAAGCAAATAAAGTGTGAAAAAAGGCACATTATTGCTTAATCTCCAAAAACATTATAAAATGGTCTGGACAGATTTGTTGGTACCTCAAGAAAAAAAGGATGAATTAAAATATTATAAAATATTTAAATAGCAAATATAAATAATAATTGGATCATAGGGATATTTCAACCTATTTTCTTTAATCAGTATCGCGGATCTTCAATCTTGTAAACAGACTATTTAAATGGAAAAAAGGAGTCACTCTTCTGTTTGGTATCATCATGTGCACCACACTGAACATGGACCCAAGGAAAGCAAAGGTCAGAGATGTTTGAGAAGATCAGGAAGAAGTTATAGACCAGCATGCCAAAGGTAAACATTAAAAGACCATCTCAAGGCAGCTTGGTGTTCCTGTGACTACAAATACAAATATTATTAAGAGGTTTAAGGCCAATGGGAGTGTAGTCAACCTCTGTGGACGAGGATGCAAGAACAAAATTGACTCCAAATTGAGCAGAAGGATAGTGAGAATGGTAGACAAAGAGCGAAGGAAAATTTCCAAAGAAATTGAAGCTGAACTTCGAGGATCAGGTACATCAGTGTCTGATAGCTCCATCCAACAGTTTCTGAACAACAGCTCAAAGGAAGAAGACCCAGGAGGACCTAAAATGCAGAAAGCACAATGCTTTTGGGAAAGTGGTCTTGGGACAGATGAGACAAAACTGGAGCTTTTCTAGCAACTCACATTAGCAAGTTCATAGAGGAAAATTTTAAGAAAAAAACGCACAGTACCAACTGTGAAACATGAAGGAGGCTTGGTTATGTTTTGGAGCGGATATCTCTGCTCAGCACAGGGCAGGGGTGGACTGACCATTTGGAAACTCGGGCACTGCCCGAAGGCCCGGGGTCAGTAGGGGGCCCCATGAGATGCCCATGGTACTTTTTTCATAGGCTTTTTTAAATTTGGGCAAGGACACAGGGGCCCCATGATCCCCTATTGCCCGGGGGCCCCATGAGTTGTCAGTCCGCCCCTGGCACAGGGTGCCTTGAATCGGTACAGGACACAAAAATATCCACACTATCAAAGAATTCTGGAGCAAAGTGTACTGCCCAGAGTCAGAAAGTTCATTCTCAGTCACAGGTCATGGGTCCTCCAACAGGATAAAAAAAAAAAAAAAAAAAAAAAATCATCCAAGAATGGCTAAAAAAAAAAAAATACTGGACTATTCCAAAGTTGCTCTCTATGAGCTCCAATCTGAATCCTATTGAACATCTATGGTAAGAGCTAAAACATGCATTCTGGAGAAGATGCCCCTCAACCCTGAAACAGCTGGATCAATCTGAGTGGGCCACACTACCTGCCGGCAGGTGCAGAAGCTACAGAAATCGCTTGTCTGCCGTGGTTACCTCCAAAAGGTTACTCAACTCAAAACTCAACTCAAAATATTGGGTTGAGTTCCATAATTTTTGTCCATTTCATTTTCATATTTTATTATTTACATATTCCCTTGAATCAAAACTCAAAATACAAGTCTAATATTTGTTAAATATGAACTAAACAATGAACGATGACGATTACTTTGGCCAGTTTGACGTTATTTTAGCCAGAACTGTGGGTTCTTCTTTATACATAAATGTCTTTACTGTTGTACATCCTCCTAACTTGGAATGAAACCGCAGCACTTTTTGAAAGCGAAAAACATACGTGATGAAAATGTAAATTTAGAATTTTGTTTTGCCCTGTTTATCCATGGTTTGGAACCCTCTGAACTTGCTACCAAGACAACCTTTCCTGCTGCTTTGCATCCTTCTAGCCACATACCTAGATACAAAACCAAACCAAAACAAATATCGGTATCATGCTAAAAAAACCAAACAAAAAAAAAACACAACATCCCATGCGAATAAGGGTGGGCACATATTTCGTGAAGTACAAAGATAGGGCAGCTGCCATCTAATTGGTTGTCATATTAATCTTCTGGTTTCAGAAGTCACCACACAGGTTACAATTTCACTGTACAGCCTCCTTTAGATCTACCAACAACTATGTATTACCTGATTGGATACAAATTGATTGTATGGTTTACATAAGTCCTCATATTACATAGTTTTAGTAAATTTGAAGTTGATCGTACAAAGATTGTAATGTGTATAGTACAGGTAAAGTGGTTGTAAAGGCTCAAGGTTTTTTACCTTCATGCATTCTATGCTCCTAGATTGTAAGCTCCCAGTATCAGGCCCTCCTAACCCTCTTGTATTGAACTGTATTGTTGCTGTCCCATTATATTGTAAAGCGCTGAGCAAACTGTTGGCGCTATAAAAATCCTGTATAATAATAATAATATGCATGAAGATATAAAACCTTCTGCGTGCAGCAGTGCCCCCCGTAATACTTACCTAAGCCACATCGTGATCCAGCGATGTGCACGAGAGCTTTGGCTCTCTGGAGATTCTCCCTCCTTATTGGCTGAGATAGCCGTGGAAGCCAATGGCAATGTCCATCACAGCCAGTGAGCCAATAAAGAGAGAGAGGGGGTGGGGCCGAGTCACAGCTCTGTGTGTGAATGGACATGCAGAGCAGTGGCTCAGGGGCGAGCCTGTTTGGGTGCCCCAATCGTAAGTTGTTTGCTGTGGGGGCACTTGGCAGGAGGGAGGGGCCAGGAACGTCGACGAGGGACCAGAGAAGATGCTTTGTGCAAAACCTCAAATATGAAATGTTTATTTTTTAAAAAAAGCTTGCCTTTAATATCACTTTAATATTTTTAATGTCACTGATCTGGAACATGTGGTCAGAAAAGCCAGAACTGCATCTGCAAACTTGTTTGGTGTCAGTGACTTAGTAAGTACTTATATCAGGGGCACAGCAACACAGACAGACGACTATCATTTCAGGAGGCCAGCAATGGAAGCCTACATATTTCTGCCATGATAGGTTTCCTTTAATTAGTCACAGGGACTTTCTTGCATTTTGGAATAGCTCTGAGGCTAGGTTCACACTAATGCATTGCGGTACATCGCATGTGATTCGTACAGGAACCGCACCGCATTCCTATGCAAATCACATGCGAATTGTGTGTGGTGCGATCGGAGCCATACATTAAGTATGACTCAAATCGCACCGCATCTGCGCCAAAAAGGTGCAGGACCCTTTTTTGGGTCTGCACTAGAATCGGATCGCATGGGTATTCACACCTATGTGATCCGATTCTGCACATCGCACCGCGTTTTGTAGACCGATTTCGGGGTGTTGTTAATTCAACGTACACACCCGCAGCGGTTCGCATGAACGGGGTGCGATTCTGATGCGGTGCGGAATTCACACTGAAAACGCTGCAAATTCCGCACCACATCAGTGTAAACCCATGCTAAGGGTCCATTCATACTATGTATACAGTATATACCATGCGTTGTGTTGTTAAAAAAGGGTCATGCATGTATTCTCATCTTTTAGGGCCAGTTTATTTATTTTATTTATTTATTTCAGGTACTTATATAGTGCTGTCAATTTACGCAGCGCTTTACATATATATATTGTACATTCACATCAGTCCCTAACCCTCAAGGGGCGTATAATCTAATGTCCTTAACTTGCATTCATACATATACTAGGGCCAGATTAGACAGGATCCAATTAACCTACCAGCATGTCTTGGGAGGAAACCGGAGTACCGAGGAAACCCACACAGGCACAGGGAGAACATGCAAACTCCAGGAAGGTGGTGCTGTGGCTGGGATTCGAACCAACAACCCTAGTACTGCCAGGTGGAAGTGCTAACCAGTTCACACTACATGCATTTCAGTTTCTTTTTTTCTGCATCCAAAACGCACAGAAAGTAGGTTATATGGTTGTCAGTGTCATAGTTCAGATCAGTGCTTGAAGTTCCAGTGCGTTCCGGTTGCAGAAAAAAAAAGTAGAATATGCTGCATTTTCCTGCACAGAACTGTACTGGAACGTAGTAACACGCATCAAAAACAACCCGAAATGCACCAAAAATGCACTGGAATGCACATGTTTCTATTTAAAGTGAAGAAAAAGAGAGGGGAAAAATTAACTGCAATGCATAAAAAACGAACTGGAAAGCATCAAAAGCACACCAAAAATGCTCTGGAACGTGTTAAAAACATGCATGCAAAAACACATCCGGAACACATCTAGACTGTGTTTCTATAGTGTGAACCGGCCCTTATGGTGCATCAGAAGGCCATTCATAATAAATGGGCTGCCTCAACGCAATGCTCTGCAACAGAACACTTTAGTGTAAATGGTCCCTAAGGCTGGCCATACACTATACAATTTTCTGTCCAATTTCTGCCCAATTTCCTTTAGATTTACCTTCAACTATGTAGTGCAAGGGCCCGCCTGATTGGATACAACTAAAAGTGTTGTTTAGGTTTGACCTCATATTATATGTTCTTTTGTAAATCTAAAGCAAAAATAAAGCAAATTGTATAATATCTGGCCACCCTAAGCCTTTAGCCATGACGGCATGACACCCAAACATTCTTTAGCCATGACACCTTGGGGTTGATTTACTAAAACTGGAGAGAGCAAAACAGGGGAGGACTGACCATTTGGAAACTCGGGCACTGCCCGAGGGCCCGGGGTCAGTAGGGGGCCCCATGAGATGTCCCTGGTACCTTTTTCATAGGCTTTTTTGAGTTTGGGCAAGGACACAGGGGCCCCATGATCCCCTATTGCCTGGGGGCCCCATGAGTTGTCAGTCCACCCCTGGTGCAAAATCTGGTTCAGCTGTGCATGGTAGCCAATCAGCTTTTAACTTCAGCTTGTTCAATAAAGGTATAACAATAAGCCCTGGTTCACACTGGATGCGACTTGCCATGCGATTTGCATGCCCTCCGACTTGCAAATCGCTTGCCAAGTCAAACCCTATTGTCCGCAATTGGAACAGTCATATTGCACCGATTTCAAAAGTTGTTCATGCACTACTTTTGGTGCGATTTGCATAGACATCTGTATCAGATGTCTTGCAAATCGCACCTGAAATCGGCAGGTCCCCCGACTTTGAAATCGTGCGACTTCACTGTAAGTCGCACGATTTCAAAGTCGGGCTTGATGTGAATGAAGGGTAAGTGCCCAGTCACACCGGTGCGATTTGTGAACTGAAGTGACATCTAATGAAAGTATATGTCAGTGTCTTAACATGTTTCCAAAGTAGTTCTTGCATTACTTTTTCTGCAGTTTTGTTGCGATTTCACATACATACAATATAATAATGGAAATCGCAGTGCAAATTGCAGGAATTCATTGAAAATCTTCACAAGTAGCAATAAAGTCTTCAAAAATCGCACCTGAAATCACGCTGAAATTGCACACAAATGGCAGCGGTGTGACCGGTGACTAAAACCTGGAAGCTGATTGGTTTCCATGCACAGCTGCACCTGAATGTGCCTGCCCTAGTTTTAGTAAATTCACTTTTTTGAAGTTCTTGAATACTTTCAGCAATCTCCTGATAGATCGACTTTTTAACAAAAACTGGCACAATACTTTCCTTTCCAGCGGCTGTAATGAAAAGCTGCAAGTATTCGCCTGTTGGATAAGTCATATATTCGCTTCCCCCAACGACCATCCTCTCTAGCAAAGAAGGGGTGACAGAACACAAGTGGAACAGTTGGCACTGTTATGTACAGAGTCTTTCCCAGCCTGCTGGAAAACATCTATCACTTAAAGCCTGACTCCAGGAACTTGGACTGCGCCCCCCCCAATGCTCATCTAGGGGAGAGTAATAGCACTTTAGGTTACCCAATCCTCCACTCCCCCCCCAGCACATAGGGGCCTGGTGGACTGTCCCTCGGTGTCAACATGTCCAATGCAGGGCTATAGACCCTGTATCAGTCTTAATGATGCAAGGACCATAGACCACTGGTGCATGGAGGAGATACAATGCGGGGACCAGTCTAGCACCCTGTATCAGTCTTGATGATGCAAGGACCATAGACCACTGGTGCATGGAGGAGATACAATGCGGGGACCAGTCTAGCACCCTGTACCAGTCTTAATGATGCAAGGACCATAGACCACTGGTGCATGGAGGAGATACAATGCGGGGACCAGTCTAGCACCCTGTATCAGTCTTGATGATGCAAGGACCATAGACCACTGGTGCATGGAGGAGATACAATGCGGGGACCAGTCTAGCTGTATCAGTCTTAATGATGCAAGGACCATAGGCCACTGGTGCATGGAGGAGATACAATGCAGGGACCAGTCTAGCTGTATCAGTCTTAATGATGCAAGGACCATAGACCACTGGTGCATGGAGGAGATACAATGCGGGGACCAGTCTAGCACCGCTGTCTCCAGACCTAAACGAGCAATTAGCCCTTGCAGTGCTGGAGCGGTCCCACTGAAAGGGATCATTTTTACGTTTACATTGGAACTCCAGGAATTAGACAAAATCTGCCCTTGCAGTGCCCCCCCCCCCACAAGGGTCAAATACCTGTTTAGGGGTGCAGTTATAAAGTCTAGTACTTATCCTATCCAATGCTCTTCTCATCTTGTTACGTACAGTGCAGGGCTGTTAACCCTGCATTGTATGTTGGGGAGGCAAGCATGCCACAGCACCTGACCAATCACATAGATATAGGCTGGCCATACATTATACAATTTTCTGTACAATTTCCTTTAGATTTACCTTCAACTACGTAGTGCAGGGGCCTGCCTGATTGGATACAACTGAAAGTGTTGTCTAGGCTGGCCATAGATTAAAAATTTTCTTGAGAATTTTATTTTAGATTTACCAAAAACCGTATAATAAAAGAGGTCAAATCTAAACAATACTGTCAGTTGTATCCGTTTAGGCGGGCCATTGCACTACATAGTTGAAGGTAAATCTAAAGGAAATTGGACAGAAAATTTGAAGAAAATTGTATAATGTATGGCCAGACAATAGAAAGCCTGCTTTAGGCTGGCCATACATTATAGAATTGTCTTGAGAATTTTGCTTTATAATTACCAAAAACCATATAATATGAGGTCAAACCTAAACAACATTTTCAATTCTATCCAATCAGGCAGGCCCTTGCGCTACATAGTTTAAGATGAATCTAAAGGAAATTGGACAGAAATTGGACAAAAAATTGCATAGTGTATGGCCAGCCCAAGGCTACATTATGCAATTTTCTTGAGAATTTTGCTTTAGATTTACCAAAAACCATATAATAGGAGGTCAAACCTAAACAACACTTTCAATTGTATCCAATTAGGCGGGCCCTTGCGCTACATGGTTGAAGGTAAATCTAATGGAAATTAGGCAGAAATTGGACAGAAAACTGTAAGAAAATTGCATAGTGTATGACCGGCCTAATGCAGGCCATACTTGGGTCGAATTCTGAGCAACTTTTCTTTAGAAAATCAGAAATTTCCTGCGTTTTGTAATCCGATGGTGATCTGATTTTCATTGACTTTCGAAATTCGACCAACCAAGCCTTCAAGTTTACATATTGCTACAGAAAAGAATTTTTGCTGCCAATAATTTTCTTTTCTTTCCAGGTCACAGCTCCTGCTTGTTTCTTTTTCGTTTATATTTCTTGCACGATTCTCCCATCATTGATTTGAATTTCGTTTGTTTTTCAAAAAATTTCCAACATGCCCGATCACTCAAAATGGTCACACGAAAACCGGCCGTTTCTGTGACCCACTAATGGTGCGAAATTAGAATGAAAATTCTTAGAAAAGATTTTCCAAAGAAAATTCTTTTGGAATTCAACCTGTGTATGGCCGGCTTTAGTATTACAGCTCATCCCTGCACCCCTAGGCTGAACATTTAACCCTTGCAGTGCAGGGTAGCCCCACTGTATTTAGAAAAGCTGCAATACACGCAACTTTGAAAACAAAAAAAATTATATTTTGTAATTATCAAGAATTAACCGAAGCGTACCGACGTGGACCAGCTCCCCTAAACGGTCAATCAAGCCAAACCCTGATATTCCTGTACTAGTGGTGGGTTAACTCTGCTGGATTGTAAACTCCCAGGAGCAGGGCCCTCCTAACCCTCTTGTATTGAACTGTATTGTTGCTGTATTGTCTCCCTTTATATTGTAAAGTGCTGAGCAAACTGTTGGCGCTATATAAATCCTGTATAATAATATATAAATCCTGTATAATAAGAATAATAATAATATATAAATCCTGTATAATAAGAATAATAATATATAAATCCTGTATAATAAGAATAACAATAATATATAAATCCTGTATAATAATAATAATAATATATAAAATCCTGTATAATAATAATAAAAGGGTTACTAGATCCAAGTCGCAGCAAGATTACCAGTGGAGTACCTGACGCTGCACCCCCCTCCATGGAGTCTCCCTACTCCTGCTGCAACCACAGAAATATATATTGGAAAGGTTTGTAGAGGAAAGGCAGACCCCTTCGTATAGATCAGGCATACTCAGGGTTGGATGGACAGACGTGATTGTCAGATATTGTCAGATATGCATCCTCTAAAATCTGCCCTGTTCTGTGCCCGATCGCCTTCAGCCATCGACTGCCTATAAAGGAGCCTACAGAGCAGCTGAACAACCCACTACATACAAAGAGCAGACAGACAATGACAGACAGACCAGCCAAGGACCAGAATGCTTTGCAATTCCCCTGCAAAAGTATTGACAAGTAAAAAAGCAGGCAGTCGGTGAGGTTACCTCTTCCTATGGAATCCTGTGCGTCTTCTTGTATCCTCTCCTGCTAGATCTGTGCTGAAAAAGTTACAAAATCCATAAACAATACAATGCAATCTGCGAGATTCATCATCACATTACCACTTCCTATTGCTGGGAAATCCCAAGTGCACTCTGATTGGTCAGTGTCATCTCAATGAGGAAGCATAGCCTGTCTGACAGATGGCTACACCCCTCCGCAGTGATCTCTGTATAGATCTGCCGTCTGCAGGCTGTGTACTTCCAATGTCCAGGATTTCTTCCCTGGAATGGACTGTCTTCACTCACTTTACGGCAGGCTGAGTCTATGTACTGTGAGGCGTGGAAATGAGCGTGTGTTAAAACCGAAAAAACTAGGGCAGGCTCTACTTTTTTTTTCAGCGCAGTGCGTTGCTACGCACTACACCGCATCGCAGTCGCCGCAGTGAATAACGATGAATGAAATGTCATTTTAGGAGATTTCAGTAATGTTGGAAATAAAAACTAAACATTGCGATGTGTCGTCACAATTAGGCTACGTTCACACTAGCCTTGGTAGCAAGCGGCAGGCGTTTGGGAAGCGTTTTTACCGTTTTCCAAACGCCTCGGAAAATTCTGCACATTGCAGCACATAGTGATGTTCAAACGGGAGCGTTAGCGTCGCATCGCGGAAAAAACGGACGTCTCTGGTTGAGTCAGGAGGAGTTGAAGCCTTCTATTCAAGTCTATGGTGCCGCTCCGCAAACGCCCGCCCATCTATAATGAAGTTTTTGAGCTGCTGCGTTTTTGGAAAGGGTCGGGGACTTTTTTAAAAGCAAAAAGCAGCATTTTTGCTACAATAGAGTTCGATGGAGTAGCTGATGAAACGCATAGTGGTGCATTTGTGATGCATTTTTTATTTTTTATTCTGCCCAGCAACAAAAAAAAAATCCGCTATAACAAAAAAAAAAAATAGAGCTGAACAAAACACAAAACATGGTAAAAACATGTCAAAAACAGGTGTAGAAAAAAACACAAGACAAACTGCAAAAAGCACTGGAGAAAGCATCAAACGCAAAATGCATATATGTGAACCAAGCCTCATGCGGATTTCAGTGCTTTTCCAGTTTGCAGAAACACACTACTGTCCATTTAACGTGATTTCCTATGGATCTAGTTCACAGCTGTGCGTTTTGGAAAGGGTCAGGGACTTTTTATTTCGAAGCAGATTGTGTTTTGCTGTAATAGAATTTAATAGACCCGCACCAAAAACACAGTTTTGATGCATATTTGCCTTGTTTTTGATGCATTTTCTTTGCTAATTGAAGAGTTCATGTAGTGCGACTTTGGTGCTACTTTGATGCTACTTGAGTGCCAGAGAGTGTAAAGTCGCATCACACTACATGCACTACATGAACAGAACTGTCATACTGTCTCCTCTGTGACCAAGCCCTGGTCGGCAGGACGAAACATGTAAGGGGGTGTGGCTGGAGTGGCAGCGGAGGCCAGCCCTGCTACTCACACTGAGCAGGTCGATGCGGCATCTGTCTCCTCTACCTTCATTGACCTGAATCGTTGTCAAGATGCCGGCACCCACCTTCTGCATACCAACGTTGTTTTTTTCAGTTCCCTGGGTTTGAGAAGCACTGCAAGCTTAATTTGTCATAACATGAACAGAACTGTCATATTTTTGTATTAGCAAAAAAAAATAAAAATACAGCAAAAACACAAAACGCGCCAGTATTGCATCACCTGCAGCCTGCACAGATGTGAACCTAGACTTAGGGGCAGCTGACAACTCATGGGGCCCCCAGGCAATAGGGGATCATGGGGCCCCTGTATCCTTGACCAAACTCAAAAAAGCCTATGAAAAAGGTACCAGGGGCATCTCATGGGGCCCGCTACTGACCCCAGGCCCTTGTGCCCAGTGCCAGAGTTTTCAAATGGTCAGTCCGCCCCTGCTTAGGGGTCGTTCACGCTAGATTTGGTCCCTGAAGAGCAATCTGCATTTGGATTGCTCTTCAGCGAGCATTTGAGAGGCGGTGAGGAGGTGTTGTATTGTCTCCTCCACGCCTGCTTTAAAGTGGAACTTTACCTATAACAGCTTGACAAGAATAATATTCTTCAGCAAGGAACATACATTCCACAATAAATTATAACAAAAGGCATAGATTTCTGTTTTTGTTTTGAAAATGAAAGTGAAAGTAAAGAAAAGAGCAAATTTTGGGTTGTCCCCAGAAACGTAATAAAAGGGGAAATCATCCAATGGGGACACTAGTTCTTCTGATCTGGGGTTTCCCAAGGGATTTCCTTAATTTGCAGGGATTTTCTCTCATTTCCTGTTTAGCTATGGGACAGGAAGTGAAGGGAAATCTCCGTAATGGGATACAGATGGCGAAAAAATAAATCTGATGGGTTATAGCCCTCCCTTGCACGATCCAAAATGAAAAAAAAAAAAAAAAAGGAATTGCCTTTAGCTCTACTTTAACTGCTTCCCGACCACCCTACAGCAGAAATACTGCTACAGGGTGGCAGGGGGTGTGCAAAATCACATATATATACATGATTTTGCATTTCCAGGTAGGGGGCACGGATCCCAGCCGGTGATTACTCGCTGGTGCCCGGTGATTGACAAGGATCTCTGACAGGGAGGAGAACTGTTAGTAAACAAAACAGTTCTCCTCCCTGTTGGCTCCTGCATACTGCTTTGGATGGCTGTGCAGAGCACAGCCATGCAAAGCAGTGTGATTACAGTGAAGCACACAGACACAAGTGAAACAGCACACAGTTAACCCTTTGATCGGCCCTCATGTTAACCCCTTCCTGCCCAGTGCCATTAGTACAGTGTCAGCGCTTTTTTTTTTTTTAGCACTGATCACTGTATTTGTATCACTGGTGATGTCAGTGACAGTCATTTCCCCCAGTGTCAGAATGCCCGCCGCAGTCCCGCTATAAGTTGCTGATCCCCGCCATTACTAGTAAAAATATTTTTTTAAAAAGCCCAGTATTTATACCACCATTTGTAAACGCTATAACTTTTTTATATAAACTTACACGTATTGGGATTTTTTTTAGGAAGTTATGTTTTTTAGGAAATTGGGAAGTTATGACGAAATGTTATTTTTAAAATTTTTTACTGGACATGTTTAATAGCAAAAAGTTAAAAATATTGTTTTTTTTCTCAAAATTGTCGGTCTTTTTTTTTGAAAGCACCAAAAATAAAAAAAAACACAGAGGTGATCAAATACCACCGAAAGAAAGCTCAACTCCTGGGAAAAAAAAAAGGATGTAATTTTAATTTTGATGCAGCGTTACATGACCACGCAATTGTCAGTTAAAATAACTCACCGCCGTAACGCAAAAAATGGCCTGGTCAGGAAGGGGTAGATCCTCTGCAGGGCAAGTGGTTAATAATTATGCTACTAAAATGAGTGTGGGCTGTAAATTGCCTCCAGCATTGTTCCTGTTTCTTCTTGCTGGCGGCTGCCATTTTGTTGAAGCCCAGAGCCCCTCAACAGCAGTAAAACTTCAGGTTGTCAGCAGATTGGCCTCTACAATTTGATCACATTGCTGAAAAACTGAAAGCAACTAAGCATGTGCAGAACAGGGTATTACTGGATCATGTGTGATTTGCAAGACATCTGATATGGATGTATATACAAATCGCCCCAAAAGTAGTGCATGTACAACTTTTGAAATCGGTCCAAGTCGCAACCACACCGATATGACCGCTCCAATTGCGGACAATAGGGTGCACTTGGCATGCAATTTACAAATTGCAGGGCATGCAAATCGCATGCTAAGTCACATCCAGTGTAAGCCAGGCCTTAGTGCCTTATCTGCATTAAATTATCCTCAGAACCTGTGTAATTAATATGTTTTCGGGTTTAAAGGGATGAGGTGGGAACCCTACCTTGAACCAGGGCCGTCCCTAGGGTTGGTGTCACCTGGTGCTGTAACACTTGGTGTCACCCCTCTGATGATCCCCGGAGGAAGGATTGGATATGCGGATTGAGCATAATGGATCGGAGTCTGATCCATTATGCTCCCCAATCCGTAGATCCAATCCATCTTGCGGGGATCGTTGGCTTGCAACCTATACGGGGTTAACTGATCTTTCCACACCAGTCTGGTCTGCACATGCTCGAGAACAGGGGCGGACTGACCATTCAGAAACTCGGGAACTGCCCGAGGGCCCGGGGTCAGTCAGGGGCCCCATGAGATGCCCCTGGTACATTTCATAGACTTTTTTGAGCGTGGTTTAAGTGTGGGTGAGGACTCAGGGGCCCCATGATCCCCTATTGCCCGGGGGCCCCATGAGTTGTCAGTCCGCCCCTGCTCGAGAATTAATGTCAGATGGAGGAGGTTCCTGCTATCCTGGCCGTATTTCCATTTTACAGACAAGTCCCGGATCTTTTTTTTTTTTTAATTTAAATATTTATTAAATTTTTCATGTTAATACAAAAAAAAACCCAAAAAAAGGGAAATAATTCTCATACAAATAGACATTTATAACATTTCTACCTTTCCCTTACTAAAAAACTTTTTTCTTTCCCATCCCACTACCCCCCCTTCCCACCCCTCACCCCCCCTCCTCCCCCTCTGCAGACTCTAGCCCATTCTACTCTCTTGAGGCTTATTAATTTTTTGCTAACACCCTAGTTCATATTTTCCTATATTTCTCTTTCAATCCTGCTCTTTCCCACTTTTCCCATCTCCTAAAATAAACTCTCATCCTATCTTCCTACATATGGTATGATCTTTCCATTCTACCTATCTGGTTTACTCTATTAATCCAGTCTTCCTCCTTCGGTACCTCAGCTTTCCGCCAAAACTTGGGTATCAACCCTTTCGCCGCGTTCAAGAAGTACCAAATACCTGAATCTTTATATTTATTTACAGATATCTCCACATTGTGTAGGAGGCACGTCGTTGGGTCTAACCCTATGTCAATTCCAGTTATTTCTTTAATCAATTTGACTATTATCTTCCAAAAAGCCTGGATTTTCGGACATTCCCACCATATGTGAAACGCCGTGCCCATCTCTCCACATCCTCTCCAACACATATTTGAGTTTTCCCCATTCATCTTGTGCTCTACACTCAGTGTAATGTGCCATCGTGTCACACACTTATAATTAACCTCAACCTCTCTCATACTAACATTATCGTGTATCAATCTAAACATCTTTCTCTGTCTATCTTCATCAAACCCAACTCCCATATCTCTTTACCATTTTGTGATAAAAGTTAACTTTGTGTTTGTGTCTAATTCTGTGAGTATTCTATACACTTTTGAAATACCGTGCTTCCCATCCCTTCGTGTCTCTAACAACCTTTCAAACATATTCCACTCCTGTTTTATTCTCAGGGGTTTCGGTAGATTTCCAATAAAACATTTCAATTGATGATATTTCCACTCATCTATTCTAATAAAAATATCTCCCTTCTTCTCTATTAAATCTTTAAGTGGTCTCAATTCCCCCTCCACCAAAACATCTCTCAGTTGGGTATCCTCCTTTCTAAACCATCTCCCTGATATCTTATATACTTTCCCGGGGGAAAGTACTCAGTATTTGTGAGAGGCATTAATATAGAATTAAATTCCCATTTCATGTTTTTGTGTAAATTGTCCCATACCCTAAGGACATTTAAAGTGTAGATACTTGTGCTTTCTTTAATTCCCCTGAACTGTGGTGGAACCCATATCATCTGGTTCAGTCTAATGCCACTAAGATCATTTTCAATTGTTACCCAACTTTTCCCCTTATGGTTAAATGTCCAGTCATATATTCTTGCTAAAACCACTGCTTTATAGTATCTCTTGACATCTGGTAGACCCAATCCCCCTTTCTCTTTAGTCCTACTCAATGTTTCATATGCTATTCTGGGTTTTTTATTCTTCCATATGTATCTTGTTAACATTTTTTTCATTATCTTAAAGAAGGCTTCTGGAATTTTAATTGGTACCATTTGAAATCTATACAGTATTTTGGGCATAATTACCATTTTGACTAGGTTTATACGTCCTATCCAGGATGGATTTCCTCCTTCTAGTCTTTTTAAATCTTCCCTGATCTCATTTATCAAAGAGATATAGTTTAATCTATACAAATGCTTAGATGAGGCAGTGAGTTTTATTCCTAGGTATTTTATCTCTTTTTCTCTCCATATAAAGGGGAATTCTTTTTGTAGTTTTTCTTTTTCATTCTTTGATATATTAATATTCAGGATCTCTGTTTTCGTTGGATTAATTTTTAAATTTGATAGTTCACCGTACTCCTTCAGAATCTTCATTATATTTGGGAGAGTTATTCGGGGATTCCCCACATAGAACAATAAGTCGTCTGCAAAGGCCGCTACTCTATGTTCTATGGATTCTATCTGAATTCCCTAGTCCCGGATCTTGCACAGCCTTACCTAGTTCAGTTAACCCTGTATAGGTTGCAAGCCGACAATCCCTGCAAGATAGATCGGATCTGCGGATTGGGGAGCATAATGGATTGGACTCCAATCCATTATGCTCAATCCGCAGATCCGATCCATCCTGCAGGGATCGTCAGCTTGCTTTAAAACTTCCCTTTTCATGGAGAGGGTCCGGTGTCACCCCGTGCAATAGGTGTCACCTGGTGCGGTGCGCACCCCCCGCACCCACCTAGGGATGCCACTGCCTTGAACCCCTCACTTGCGCACTGTTACATGCCTGACAAAGGGGTCCTGCGAGCCTCTGAAACACTGCTTCTGTAATTATGATGTGATCGCAGAATAAAGCTTTGGACTCGCTCTGGAGATCCTTGGTGCTGGTGACATACTTTGGCTTCGAACAACTTTAGTGTCCAGCCGCTGGTTGCTGCAGCACCCATCCATATTCACAGCCATTGTGCAGGAACATGTGCGTTGGGAATAGTGTGCTTGCAACTGCATGCATTACATGAGTGGAAGCAGATTGGTCCCATTCACATGAACGGGTTTGCTTTCGGCAGGCAGTAGCGCCCCCCAAAATAGACAGGGGTGCTAATTCCTGCTGGCATGTGTACACCCCAACCAACTAATCTGCAGCTAAAGGGGGTAGCGGTTGGGGGTGGTAAAAGTGCAGCTTACCTTGGGGTTTTATCACCCCCAAGCTGCTAGTGTGAACGAACTCTAGCACTGTGTTGAGGTGCAGTGCATAAAAACGAAGCATGGCCGCAGTTTTATACAGTGCAACACACCTCATCACATGTCACCAGAGCGTGCAGCAAAGCGCTGCGCTATGTAGAGTTTCATGAATTGGCATTTTGTGACATTTCAATAAAGTTTAAAAGAGTAAACAGTGCCATGCTTTATCACAATGCAGCACTCCGCTCCTATGCCATGCATACAACACGCATACATTTTAGTGTGGAGGCTGGTGTGACTGAGCTCTCACACGTTTACGCTGCAGGTAATACTTGCATGTTATTTGTGTTATCCTGGTACACCCCAACCAGTTGTGCATTTTGGTTTAGGCAAGGCTAAAATTGGACACACCCCCAATCTACATTTGCCATACCCCTTCCTGTTTAAGATCCACCCCTTCATCTGCAAACTCCACCCTTTCTTCTTTTGGCTCCACTTCAGGAGTTGGTCAGAGACTGCGAACATAGTATAGGAGATGGTCAGAGACTGCAGACATACTACAAGATATGGTGAGAGACTGCATACATAATGCAGGAGACAGTCAGAGACTCTGGACAGGATACAGGAAACAGTCAGAGACTGCAGACATACTACAGAAGATAGTCAGAGACTGCCGACATACTACAGAAGATAGTCAGAGACTGCCGACATAATACAGCAGATATGGTGAGAGAATGCGGACAGGATAAGGTCAGAGACTGCAGACAGGATACAGGAGACGGTCAGAGACTGTGGACAGATTACAGGAGACTGTGGACAGGATACAGGAGACTGCAGACAGGATATCATCAGAGACTGCGGACAGGATACAGGAGACTGTGGACAGGATACAGGAGACTGCAGACAGGATATGGTCAGAGACTGCAGACAGGATACAGGAGACAGTCAGAGAGACCGCGGACAGGATACAGGAGACTGCAGACAGGATATTATCAGAGACTGCGGACAGGATACAGGAGACTGCGGACAGGATACAGGAGACTGTGGACAGGATACAGGAGACTGCAGACAGGATATCATCAGAGACTGCGGACAGGATACAGGAGACTGCAGACAGGATATGGTCAGAGACTGCAGACAGGATACAGGAGACACTCAGAGACTGCAGACAGGATGCAGGAGACTGTGGACAGGATACAATCAGAGACTGCAGACAGGATACAGGAGACGGTCAGAGACTGCGGATATGATACAGAAGACTGTGGACAGGATACAGGATATGCTCAGAGCCTGCAGACAGGATACAGGAGATAGTCTGCGAAGCCCTGCCAAACCCGCCCGAACACTGCTGAGCTCACCCCCTTCTCAAGCATTGCCAAGACTGCCCTCCCACCAGAGCTCTGCTGAGAATGCCCCCCACCAGAGCACTGCTAAGACCACCCTACCATCCAAGCACTGCCTAGACGCCACTGGTCCCTTCTGCCTGGGGGCAGTGCCACCCCACTGGAAAATGCCTCCCAAGGCAAACGCCTTGTATGCCTCGTGGCAGACACGCCCCTGACCCCAACGCACAGGAAACACATCTCCAACACGCAATAACATGCTGCTGTGCATTGTAGTGCACTGTGTTGGAAAAGTGCTACATGCTCTTTTAGGCATGTTCTGGTGCGGTAGCAATCCATTCAAAATTACTGGACTGCTTTAACACAACGCATTTCAACACATGACATAACAAAAGTGCGTAACAGAACGATGACATTGAAGTGTGAATGTGTCGGAGTCGTTAACTTCTGATGAAATGGAATTAAGTTTGCTCTGGTATTTGGTATTTCACATCTGAGTTATGTTGGTCACTGTGTTAGTGTAAATACATTTCTTTTTAGTTATGAAGAGCTCAGGAGCAGTATAGCCATCAGCATCTGTGTGCAGCTTGCAGGGGCTCCTTCACTTACAGTTGCAAGAAAAAGTATGTGAACCCCTTGGGATTACGTGGAGTTTTGCATGAATTGGGCATAAAATGTGCTCTGAACGTCATCTAAGTCACAACAATAGAAGAACACAGTCTGCTGAACATAATACTACACAAACATTAGATGTTGCCATGGTTTAATTGCACATAACATGTAAACATTCACAGTGCAGGGAGGAAAAAGTATGTGAGGCCCTAGCTTAATGACTTCTCCCAGAGCTAATTGGAGCCAGGAGTGAGCCAACCTTGACTCCAATCAGTGTGATGATAT